ATTTGTTTTCAGAATAAATCTATTTCATAGCCCATTATTATCCCTGAACAATATGTACTTCATAATTTGAAATTTAAATGTAGAAAGTAGCAAGGACCTTTGTGGACTGGTGGAACTAAACAGGTTTTGTGTCTCGAGGCTTGATGGAAGGTCAGAGAGAGATGGTCAAAGGTATTTAAGGTAAATGCTATGGATTAATTCATCTCATGGTGGTAAAAAGGCTGCCCTAACAGAAAGTTAACTGGATCTATCTCTATTACTTCCAATTTTCTGAACTCTATTGAACTTGAAGCTTTGTTGACAATGTACTAAGAAGAATTATTAATTGTATCTGCCTATATTTATATTATCTAGATATGTCATCATGTGAGTTCAAGGAAAATCTTTGCACTGAGGAGACCCCAAGTTCAATCAAAATGACTGTTATCTGACATCACCTTGGAAACTTGTCTCCATCATGGTATAAACTGTAAAAGCAACAGGATAGCAAGCAGGGCACAGCTCAGTGGGAGGAGTAAGCAGATGGAAAACAGTGGTTTTGCAGTTTTAGGGTTGATAGGAGTTAATTATGATGTAAGTATGCATAAGAACTTCATTATCTTTGGAGGGCAGAGGCTGCTATTAGTTTAACACAGAATTTTCTGCAATGTTGTGTTCTCCCTGAATTCTGGAGTAAGCCTTGCTCAGAACATCACTGTCCAGCCTCAGAAGTTGCAGCTCCAATCAGCATTTTGAACTCTCAGCATCAGCAACTCCCTGGAAGATAGAGAAAGTATTTCAATGAGTGAGAGCCACAGCTTCTACACAGAGTTCCACTCTAAAAGGAGAACATCCCGAATAGCTCTGGTGATGCCTGGCCATAGCTTTTCAGATAGGGAAATCATTTTGTCCTTTGGGTTTAGCCTGGGGTTTCAGTAGCAAAGGCAAGAAACTTTTCAAACAATGTTAAACAAACTGACGCTAAGGAGTTTGTATTGGAAGATACCAAGCCTTAGGTCAGGAAGCAGTGTCAGCCACCTGAGGATTGGGGTCTGGGACTAAGGAGCTGTCTAGTATAGGCACCTGCCTTTTTCAGCATCCACGGGGTCTCTCTTTCTTCTGTGGCAAAGCCACAGTTTTCACAATACACAAAGTTCAGGAACTCAGCTTTTACTGACTAGAGTTCTTCTCTCCTCTTTAATAATTATTTCCAACTTCAACAAGAGCCCTGCTTTATTCCATAAAGGGGTGTGCATATGCATGTGAGTGTGCGTGTGTGTTTGTTCCAGACAGTGCCAGGGATTCATCAAATATTCTCATGATTATTGCTGTCTTTCCTTGTTCACACACAACAACCTTTAAGAAAATTCAATTTGGTGTAAGTTAGATAGAAAAAGTTTTGATTTTGTCCTGCACGAAGGATCTGAGGCCTTATCATGGAAGCTGCTGGCAGCTGGGACGCCTTCTACACAGTGAGGCTTCTGTGATGAGAAATTCCCTGTCCTTGGGTACCAGGGCTGCAAGTCCCTGCCTCATATAATGCAACCCCATTTTTGCTGCTGAGGTTCAGGTCCTTCAAACTTTTAAAATGCAAATCTCCAAGACCAGTTTGAAGCATCATGGGGAGTGGGGATGTCACTGCAAATTCTGGGCAAGGAGGGTAGGAACCTCTAGCTCATAGCTTCCAGGGCTCCTGGGGCTGTCTGTGTCCTCCTCGTGCAGGTGAGTGGCTGGTATTGTGTATGTGCCTGCTTCATTAATCCATGACAGATTGAGCGGAAACAACACTTTTAAAAAAAATTTTCCTAGTTTCTCTCTCAGCAAAATGACACTACTTTAAAAAAAATTTTTTTTTTGAGTACCAAGCATATGGAGTCTAATAAATTATATCTTTAAAAAGACAGGAGATTTCCATTATAAACCATTATATTTTTCATAGATGTTGCACTTAGTAGTCCCACTTAAAATAACCATAAATCCTTAAGTTATTCCTACAAATTTACATGGGCCAAAAAAAAATATTTTTCTTTCAATTTTAGGATAAAGATCATATAACTAGATAACCATAAGACACTGGATTCCTGTCTAAAGAACAATGTTTTGATTTGACTCAACCACAGACCTGGTAGAGATCCTGCTGTCTACAGATCCTGAGTCAACATGAGAGTTCATTTTCAATGAAATGCTGCAATGATTCCCTTTGAAATGTATCATTTTAAATGCTACTATGGGGGATTTGTTAAATAAAAGTTTTACAACATATATGAAAAAATGTGATTTATTTTCCTCATGGATGATTTTGGGAGCCTTCCCCAACAACGCACTGGAATCCTGTAACATATGAATGCTAACATGTCTTTGTAAATCAGCTTCCTTTCTGAATGATCACAATGGAACACACAGGCACGTAGAGTAAGGAAGCACATAAGTCAGTGGTATATTTAGTATTATGATGAATGAGTTGACACATGTAGATAAATTGCTACAGAATCTTATTCTAAGCATGATATTAGCTTATGATATTTGGGGAGATGACCAGCTGTGCAATTTTGTGATGTCTTCAGCAACTTTGGTACTTTACAAAAATTTGCATGTATTTTATGAATTCCATTTAAAGGATCTAAGGGTGACTTCCCTTCCTGAAGAATCCTTGCAGGTCACCAGCTGTCAGTTTTGGAGACTGCCCTCTCTGATCTTTGGACTTGAGTCTGATAAGGAAAAATGTAAATTGACAAAATTAAATAAATATGTATGAAGCTTTTGTTTGCCTAAAAAGGGGAAGGGAAGCATTGTTTTCCTCTGCACATATCAGATTATCTCTGCCTCTGATATGGAGTTATGTGAATTCCTCCCATGCATCCTCAAGCTCCTGGTATGTTATTTTTAAATTCCTTGTGCATCTTTATTTTTGAGTAGCAGGTTTGCTTCTTGATGTATTTGTGGCCCATTAAAATAAACACACTGTTTTGTTTAAGTTAAAAATTATAAGACCCTTAATTGTGCCATTAAGACTTAAAGATAAAAAAATAACATTTCATTGGAAAATAATCATGTTGTGGGAATCACATGTAGCATTTGACTTCTTCTGACAAGTGGGCCTGGTGTTACTTGTCTTGGTAACAACACCATTTCTTTTGTGTGGGCTTTGTTTAAAGAGGAGGGATGTTACCCAGTGTTTGTTTAATCTGATTTGGTTTCTGGGATATTCTTCTCTTCTCTTCTCTTCATCAAGGGATGATGTCATACTGAGAGCTACCCTGATTAGATAGCTGGTCAAACGTGCAAGCTCAAGCAAAAGCCACAGCCCAGGATCCTTGGAAGAAAGAGGTCTAGATGAAAAGGAAGGAGTCCTGGTGGTAAACCCTGCCATTGTCATGGGAGGAGAAATTAGGTCACAATGGAGCTCTTAGCCAATACTAAGAATTATCTCCTGTCTGTAATCCATGGGAGTTCTCATCAGTTCTAACTAAGAAAAGATTCTATGGCACTAAATAGCTCAAAGGAAAGACTTCTGTTCATTCTTCCAATATTGATTTCATTTCTCTAAATAGGACATGGAGATTTTTAGGAATAAAGTGTAACATTCTATTATCCTTATTTTCCCTTCATGTTTTCAAGCTCTTTATCTCATGGATGCTCCCAGGAACAGCAGGGATATTTATGCAGACAGAAGAAGATACAGCAGCTCAGATAAGTTTAGTGACCTCCTTTAGGCTACTGTACTGGTAAAGTACAGAATGTGGAGTTGAGCCTCTTTCATATGTTAATTATCTCTTCTCTAAGTGGTGCCTACTACAAATAATTAAAAAAAATATTCTCGATATGCATGGCAAGAAGAAAAGGTGATTTTGCTGCTGTTGTTGTAGATTAAGGAAGAAACTTTGAAAAGCATATGCTTAGTTATGTCTCACATAGTAGTCTTCAATGAGTTCATAAATCTCTCTAGCCATTCTGGGATCCAGATCATAATTTTGCATTAATCTAATATTCCATATAAAAACAATCCAAAATAGTCTTTTTTTCTTTTAGATATTTTTTGTATTTGGATAGTTGTAGTTTTTTGTATCTAGATTTTTACAGTTCTCACCTGGGGAGAAAATACCTCAAGAGTGAGTCTGAAATACAGGTTGAGAAGGCTTAGTCCCCTTTACACCAGGGATATTTTTACTAGGTTTCTCTAATTTCTTGGAAGACATTTTGGTTCAAAGTCAAGCAATTTATTTTATTACTTCTGTGTAGGTGCAAGTTGAATATTTTATAAGAATATTTTACCTTTAAGACAGGTAATCTAGTAGAAACAATCCTGAATTTATCTTCAGTTAAAAGTTTCAGTTATAGAAATGTTGGGTGAATTTCCTATACAAGCTATATAGCTATTGGTAAGCTATAAAATAACTTGAATATAATGTATTATTTTATGTGTTTATAGCTAGATTTTATTGCTATGATGGTGTTCTATCTCCAACCAATAGAAAATAACTTGAGAAAGGGAATCTGATTCATGAGTATTCCTTTTCTTAGGCTTGCTCTACAAACTCTGCTCCCTGTAATTGAGACCAATCCTCCTGGGCCCTGCCTGGACTGGTTTGTCCAAAGCCCTGGAGTAAATACTCTGGCCATGAGGTAAAGAGGAAGGCGTTGGAGGAGGATGAGCCTCTGTTGCTTGGGGGAAAGAAGAGATTGCAGAGCGTGTGGCACAAGAGTTATGGAATTTAGACTGAGCAATTTGACTTAAGTGACATTTCACCTACAGCTGCATTAGAAAAGTTCAATTTACCTTAGATAAAGAATTTAAAGAATGTAGAGTGGCTATCAGAAAAGGTCCAAACCAGAGCAGCCTCTGGATCAGAATGCAGAAACTCTGAAGTCAGGCAAGGAGGAACTGTTCAAAATCTTAAAACCTAAAAGAGATAATTTAATGATTGGAAAATTATGCCAATTCAACTACATTTGAACTGTGTAGATTTATAAAAATAGTTTTGTAAATTAATAGGGAGCTTCAAGGAAGGCTAAACTCACAAACCCTCCCAATGTCTGCCTGATGTTTGCCGGTGATCAAGCAGAAGTCCACAGATGTTCTAATGTGCTGCCTACAACGTGCTACACACACAGAAATACACACGTCTTTAGTTGTCATGACTTTTAAAAAACATGTTGTTCACACAGGGGATATTGTGTCTGGCTTTCTGAAGTCTGTAGAGAACCCGTAGGGACATAAGGTTTCATGGCATGGAGGTGCCATCAGCTTGGTTTAATTCCTCTGCTGGGTCTCTTCTCTTCACTCCTGCTCCTCCATTACTTGGTGGTCACAGTTCTTGCTGGGGTTGATCAGCGTGGCTGGTTCAAGGCTTTGGCTCACTTTATGCACTGGCTGTGAAATGCCTTCTATTTTTCTACTGGTTCCCCCTGGGCTTCATAATTAAGTTCAATTTCTTCTGTCTTAAAATTAGGGCATAGGCTGTTGACCTGGATGGAAACAATATGGAATATTTAAGGTGGTACTCTAGCAGTGTGGTGGTCAGAAGTAGCCATTGCAGTATTTCTCAGTTGCCTCCAGTTTGGGCATTTCTATAAAGATCAGTAGAATTTGAAAGAGTTCTTGGGAAACTCATCTTTCTGTGCCTTGCTGACCCTGTGCATGGGTGGAGGTCCAGGCACCTATGATGAATTCACTCTCAAAGGTTTTCTGAGGATTGACTCCACGGTTGTTGGAGACAGCATGCCTCAGCCCTGGTTCTGGCTGGCTTTGGCTTCAGATAGTGCTTTTCTGGAGGTGTCTCAGAACCTGTTAAAAATCAGATGAAAACCCCTTAGGCTCCACAATGATACCTCTGCTGTACATTTTGGTAGATTCCCCCTAGGACCCTAACATACAGTTTAAGAACACTTTAAACTAGCTGCTCCTTTCTGATCACAATAACGGGATGAGGAGAAAGGAAAGTTGTCAACAGTTGTACGTAATAATAGGATATTTTAAGAATATAGTAAAAGTTGTTGTGGTTTGAGTTGGCTGCCAGAAAAGGAGGGCTTTGCCACTCTAGAAAAATTGCTGTCAGTG